ACGGTTTAAAAATCAAATTTAAGTTGGTTCAGTTATTGATTTGGCTAAAAGCACGTAATGACCAAGAACCAGGGTGTCAATAACTGTTGAGCATGACGGGTGTCATAATTGGGCTTGACAGACATTTTTCCAAGGGACATACTACAAATGCTCTCAGCTTCTACAGAAATGTACATGTTTTTGCTTAGTTATCAGCGAGTTATCAAATATGTATGTAATGTACATATGTATGATTCACAATGCTCAGATCAGCATCACCCGCTTGCTGTCCAAATCTGCGATGTTATTGGCAGAAGACTCGTTGATAAAGAGGTAAGTATGTGGATTTAGTCACTAAATTACTTCATTTTGGTGTTATATCACATATATGTATCACTAATTGCCATACCATGGGTTGACTAGCCGATTCCATCATAGAGCAAAATATGTCCGATGTAAACATTGAAACATCGATTGGCTCCTAGTGGGCTCCTAATTTCAAAAAGTGCTTTTGGCCGTGCCTCAACCGGTCGCAGCCTTAACTCCACAATGTGTAGACGGTACGGATTGAAAGGGAAAATTGTGCTGAACAGTTAAAAAAAAACTATTTAATTGGAGGCTTTTTTGATATTTTCTCTTTTCGACGAGGCTGCCAAATTGAATGTTAAAAAAAAACACATATGTATGTACGTATGTATTTATAGATAGGATGACATTGTTAACATGCATATGCTTATCTATGTATGTACCTACATACATATGTATGTATGTACTTATGAATGTTAGCATTTATCTCTTTAAATAGTACATAGTATATACATACACAACTTACATACGAGTGTGCATGCACATATTACACATAAAGATATATCGCGCCCTTTAAATATAAAAAAAAAAAACAACCACAACGTCGGGAGCAAGCAGTTCTATTCAAGCGCAAATCCACATACAATGCATCATTTTATTTAATTGTTTACTTCAAGGGTAGGCTCAGGGCAGAGCAAAGCAGGGCACCCCTAAGTAGGGTTGTCTGTCAAAATGTTCGTGTTTCTCTATTTGTCTAACATACTCTGGGACGGGACAGGAGTTCGCCGGCATGCCAAGCACTCGTATTTGCTCGTCTGTTTAGTGTAGCAACTTTGACCTCTTTTGTTCGTTACAAAACCTTGTCGGCATCGACTGCGGTTTTTTTTTGGTTTTGGTCCTGTCTCGATTCTTTGTTATCTAAGCTAAATTACACTCTCGTCCTTTTGCTCCTCTCTTCAATTGTTGTCTGTCCTATTCTGTCGGGTTTTGTTCGACTCTTCGACTGCGAGTTATTCAGTGGCCTGACGACTTTTCGTGAGCCAACTTGGGCATCAGACATTGGACATTCTTAACAGGCTAATGTTTTTGATGAGATTGCAAAACATCGAGGTAGTGGTAGTGCCGGCTGTTTTTGGTTCAGTAATATTCCGCCCGTAAAATTCTGTTTGTTGTGGACACACGCCTAATGAAAATAGAATGGATCGTACGAGTAGGTTTCATGTTTCATTTATGGCCTCAAGATGAAAGAATATAAAAACAGACTTATCCAATTGGTCAGCCTATTGGAACTCCCATGATCTCACCTTCACACAGGGTACATACAAATGTATGAACATATGTACTGCTACAGGTATAACGACAGTTGGTTAAATCAGTGCAGAGTTTATTTTGAATAGGGCTAGATAAGAGCAGCAGAAAGAATAGAAAGGGATTTGTTAGTAGATATATTAGATGTACATATGTACATTGTTTTAGATATAGTAGAGGAAATTATGTTCCGAGAATAAGATACCCTACTAAGAAGGATCCCATACAAAAGAATAACGGTTATAGTGGATCTAATAGGAATAGTGAAGATTATACTGCTCAAATAGTCAGGGCTAGTACTTGTTGTTGTACTTAAAAATCAAAGAAACAAATTGTTCTACTGTTAGCTAAGGATAGAAGGATTAAAAAATCAATATATTAGGATATCACACTTGAAAAATAGCAACATGATCTGTATATGCACTTATGGTACATACAGCTGTGTTCATGAAAATAGTAGTGCAGCACCTCACCACTTTCAAAGCTTTTTTGAGACACTTCCAATCATTCAATTAAAACAAGTGATACATTTTTGAATAGCCTGAAGCAATGGTATTCATGATTTTTGACACATACCCATTACAAGGAATGCTCATACAAATAGTGGTGTATTTTATTAAAACACCGATGAAACCCAGTTCCTAGCGAGCTTTCCGGAATGTTTCGGATGATAATCTTTGTTAAAGATCCTTCTCAAGTATAACTACATCAAAATTTTGTGTTCAATACTCAAACGATAGACAATCACCCAACATGCACAGAACTGTTTTTTTTTTTTCAAGAATTTGGGTAGTAGCACTAAGCAACCAACAAACAACAAAAATTTGGCTCCCTCCACTCCAGTGCTTTTTCTACCTTATATTTACTTTGCCCCATGAGTTCTCTGCTAAACTGGATTTTTTCTCAGACTTTGAAAACTTAATTTATATTCATTTAAGCTACAACTAGGTTTGCATATCTTCGGAAATTTTTTAAGATCCATTTTAAGCTCTGTATTCGGCTTAAAAGGATCCCTCTTGCTAGAGAAACCAGAATTTTCAAGGTTCTTGTTGGTAACATGTCTTAAGCATTACGAATCATTTTAGATGATTGAGAAAATTGTGAGAGTAAGGACACTTATTTGTCTGGACGGTGATATGAAATGACTGCACCATCAAGTGGCCCATGCGACACCAAGCCAAAGCCTGCTACGCGGGGAACCCAGCAGAATCCCGCCCAACCGACCGAGAGGCGCTGCCGCATGACGCGCGGCTAAACACAACTAAACAAGAGCAACTATAGCTAAGCAAGCAAAATTACCAAAGTCAGAAACAAGACAAAGCTAAAATTAAACTAACTACGGGAAAGGTAGGCTAGTATAAGAGATTTGAGAAGAGGAAAGGAGTTAGTCGAGGGTATAATTTAATAGAGGGAATTATAATCCCAGCATAAAACCCTAAAAGGTTCGTGCAAGGCATAATTCGATCTACACAGGGAAGGAACAAAGGAATATAGTTTTAGTGGGTCTAATGGGAATCGTAAAGTTTACGCAGCTCAACAAGTCAGGGCTGTCTATATCCCCCTTGATCAAGTTGTGCATACAAATTACACCAAGCATTTTTCTACGACTAACTAAGGATGGAAGATTTAGGATGGCAGTCTCACAGTTGCATCACAGTTGAGGCCCCGCAGTGTAAATAATAAAAAGTTGTTCTGTACTGATTCAATACGGTCCTGATGTATGTTGTGCTGCGAGCACCATACACATGATGAGCCGTATTCTAAAATCGGACAAACCTCTTTATAAACACAAGCACACCCATGGCTTTTTTTACCATGGTAGAAATGTGTTCAGAAAACTTTAACTTGGGGTGAAAAGTCATTACATTGCACATCGATGCATTAAGGTGTGACATCAAATCTCTTTATCTCAGATAGTAAACATCTCAACCTACTTTATATTACTGCGAAGTGCATAAAATTCTGTATGGAACAAATTTTTTTAAACAATAAAGACTGTTGTATGTACATGCCATACAATTTCTATGGGTGGGCGGTGTTCTTATGTTTTTTTATAATATTCGCCCAGTGCAACACAATATGAAATAAATTAACGTTTATTCACACATTCCAGAAAAATCAGATTCGTCACCTCGACAATGCTCCATGAAATTTTTGGCACACGCAGAAGGAATTACAAAAATTCGAACTGGGAATAAGTATATCCTTTGAAGAGCAAGCACCCTACTTAGATGCCGTCAGTGAGAAGGGGCCAAAGGTTGTGTGAATGGTGACTTGTGGGTGGCGGGGACGCAGGTTGGGGGTTTATCCGTTGGCGCGTGTGACTTCAAAAATCCCAAAAACGTGTCGGACGGCATGTTGAGTGCGAGTATTCTTGAATGCGGCTTGAATATTTGGGGATGGTTGTACATTCTTGGATGCTACTAGCTACTGCTCTGCTGCTTCTTGGTGGTGGAAATTGTGTAACTGACATATACGGCAATTGGCAAGCCCAAAATTTAGACAGGCCGCTGCGGTATGCTAGTAGTAAACAAATTTCGAATTTTATGGTCTATATTTTCTAGACTTACAAATTCCAATTTTCGGACATGAATGGTCGTAACTATTGCATTTTCAATATGTCCATATGTAAATGCATGTCCATATTTAAATTTGTATTATTTGCTTCAAAAGATAATTTTCGTTAGTTATGTTATGTTAAAATATCTTTATATTTTTTACAGAAACATGTATTGCGACTCACCCTCTCCCAACCCCTCACCAGCTGATATTGGTTGTGAGTTCGAGGTGGTTTCTGATTTTCAACAAAACACAATATTATAATGAGAATGTGGAAAAGCCTTTAACGTAAGGTTTGCCTCTAGGTACATACATATGTGCATTTATGTATTTACATATGTACATACAAGTGCGTATGTAAGGAACTGCGATAAAACAAACGAATCTTTTACATGCATTCATACATATGCATATGCAGCCGAAACTAAAGATGAAAATGGGTTCTCTTATAAATATGTACATAAATGTTTACATACATAACAAAACATACATACTTACATATGTATGAACGAACTGAATGCATTTTTGTTTGCCATCGTATTATCATCTGAATTCATAAAGTTAAATTATCAAACAACCAATCAAAAGTTTGCTATCAAGAAAGAAAGGGACAGCTTAACACCGACATGTTATTGTGGCCATCCCTCTCAACTCAACGCAAGAGAGATGCGATGGCAGAGGAACAGAGTACCTATAGCCATCTCTGTTTTAAATATACCCGATGGACGCAAGCAGAACGAAAGAGACAGATAGTGTGACAGTGGTGTAACTCTGTCAAAATGGCTGGCCATGATGATTGCGCTGTACTGTTGCTCTTGCCCGTGTTTTTTCGCATGAGAGCTCATTAACGTTTCGCTTGGCTAAGTGCGCGCCTCGCCCACTGAAACCAGTTGGTAGAAGCAAATTTTGTTCAGAGCAAAATACGGCCGACGTTGATTATTTTGAATGAACATACCAGTTCTTAGATTAATAAACGTGGACGCCAGCCGTGGCCCTGCCTGCCGCCGGGTCGCTGACGGCACGGCAGCACCTGCCTGCACCTGTGGCAGATAATATCGGGACCAATTTTAAGCTCAGTTTTAGTTCCGACTTTCGAATCGGATATTCTGTTGCGCTAAAAACTTAAATGTACAGAGTGTAAGAATCTGCCAACAGCTAAAAGAGATGGCAAAGAGTACAAAGATAAAATTGAAGAAACCCTAACTAGCCCCGCCGACTACCGCTACAGTAAAGGAAAAACGGAGCTATATATTATCGTATAGTGATGATAATCTAGTGTTGACTAAACAAGTGAAAAATAAAAGATTTTATGTTTACACCAGTAAAAAAATTAAGAAAAAATATGCGTGCAACGACAACGAAACGTAATCCCACTCCCTTCTAAACAAATCAATACGCAGTGATTCGCGAGGAGACAAACATCCTTACTATATTGACTTTGTTTTAAGTAAGATAAATACATATAAACGCTCAAATTGGCATCGAAATCGTCAGTGAAATAAACAACACAAAAATCAGCAATCATGATGCTAACAACTGAACACATCATGCATGGGCACCATCCCCACTCTTCGGTCGGTCAGAGTGCGTTGTTCGGATGCTCCACTGCGGGTCATAGTGGTATCAATCAGTTGGGCGGCGTCTATGTAAATGGGCGTCCTCTGCCCGATTCTACCCGTCAAAAGATAGTCGAGCTGGCTCACTCGGGCGCTCGTCCTTGTGATATTTCGAGAATACTTCAAGTTTCAAATGGCTGCGTAAGCAAAATTTTGGGCAGGTGAGATACAAGACCCACATAATAATACCCACACATAAAAACCGTGTAATTGGTGCAATAGCCCTACCGGAATATTCAAGTATTATTGCACTGATATTTTATTCTTTTTCTTTTAGATACTATGAAACAGGATCAATCAAACCTCGAGCAATAGGTGGTTCCAAACCACGAGTAGCTACAACGCCTGTCGTACAAAAAATTGCCGACTATAAGCGGGAATGTCCCAGCATATTTGCTTGGGAAATTCGAGATCGACTTCTTTCAGAGCAAGTTTGCAATAGTGATAACATTCCAAGTGTAAGTTCTGTGACCGTTTAAGACATTTTACTTCATTTACTCTTCACATTTTACTACCGTACCACCAATGCAGCAGGAGGTAATATTTAATTGGAATTGGACTTAAACAAATACTCTTTCAATAAATAATTTTTGATTTTCCATTGACAAATCGTTGAAAGATAGCCAGGAAGTATGCTGATTCAGATTCTACTGTCTGACAGGTATACATATTTACGAGACTGCGTAGTTTGTTTTCTCGTATCTTCAAATTTGTAGACCCCACAGATTTTCGACCTTTGAGGAGACGCAAGGTAGCGGGTCCAAATATTGACTCACTGATTCAATTTATTCAGTGTGATATCACTCATTTAGCCTGTACATGAAATTTGGACATTCTAACTCTTATAGTCGCTGAGAGCCAGGGTCAGAAATTATTACTTCGACTTACAAATGAAATATAACACTAAAGTCTTTGAGTACTGGGTTTACAAATTAAGTATTTTCTATTAAACAGTGACAATTTATTGTAAAGTTTTTTTAGACATTGAATCACAGTGGGGAGCTAGATTTTTCTTTTAAATTCAATATTTTTTTATATTTTTAGAAGACATCTCTATTTATTCAGACGTTAATAAGCCACTGCATTATCAGAAAATCTGTTTAGTCAACGAAACGATCCCAATTAGTCAAAATGAGCAAAAGTAACGAAATAGCGATTGTTACGTTGGTAACAAAAATCCTGTTTGGTTAACCACTAGTCGTTGGACTTAAAGGGGTTTAAAGGGAATAACATTTAGCTTCCCATCTTACTGGATTATTTTGAATGAATAAATAATAAAGCTGTCATAGAAACTCCAAGATATAGGCAAAATTAAAAAAAAAGCTTCGCTTCCGTCGACTTGAGTATAATAATATCTTATGGGTCATAAACGCAAACACAGGAACGTTATTCCGCCCCCTGCTTGTAGTTTTGTATACCTTTACTCGAAGAGTTGAGTTTATACCCAATCTCAAAATCTTCATTCTGGCTATAATAATATAATAAAATAATATAATGTAATAATAATTTATAGTATATATATATATAATATAATATATAATAATATAATAATGAGGCAATTTAATAATTGTCTGCGAAAGACAGATCTTAAATAAAGTTGAAACACGGCTCAAAAATATAAAATAATAATCATATCTAATCTAATATCTGATAGATATGGTCATTCCCTACGGAATCGAGACTTTAGATTTATCTTATCTTCAAAATTGTGGATACAGCAGACTTTCGCCTTTCGTGGGGTCGGAAGGGGGTTGGGGCTAATTTTTCCAATCCTCTTGTATTTTTGTGATATCGCAGCAGTCTGGAACCAAAAGGACAGGCGAACAGATTGATGCTGATCAAGAATAAACATATACATATGGATAATTTGTGGGGTCGAAAACGTTTCCTTCTTTGCGTTACATACAACCGTTATTCGCAAAAATACAATATATAGCTAACTATATAACATTTGACCTTTCAAAAGGGAAATGTACATAATTAAATGTTTGTCCATCATTGGCAGCATTTTGCTTATTTTTCGTGCGAAATTTCAATTGGATGTACAATGCACAGAAGGAGACTATAAAATCTACAGCAACCAAATTTTGGATCAAAACTGCTTCGATATCACACTGTTACAACTGTATTTAAAAACTTCGCCCCACCACTATAAAAGGCTAACCAACTTTTGAATCTACAAATAACGGAATGAAGAATCTACAGGAAAATAGAGAATGTCCATATCTATCAGATCCCCGAATTAGGGTCATATTGGATCAGTATTATAGCTAGAATGATTCACTTCATGTCCAGTGGCTACCTCCCACCCCTTCCAGCAGCCATCTAGTTTGTGCTCATTCTCTCTCGCTCGCACACTCTGCCTCATACATTGAATATTGCTAAGAATGAATATACAAACGGATAGAAACTCGAAAGATTATACGATAGATGGTTAAATTTTTATTCGACCGCGAAGATGCAGTATGTGGATAAAAATTGAGAACTTGCTGTTCCCTGCAAAAATGGTCTTTGAAGCCGTACTTCTCAAAGTTTTCATTGAAAATCCAAGAACGGCGCGTGAATACCAGATTGCCGTGACTGGTCTGGTATAGAGTTACTCACAAAAAGATTTAGAGTTAGCAAAGTTTAAGTCAGATCTTGATCAGAAATACGTGGTTTTTGTGGGGCAGGAAAAGTGTATTTGTTATTTTATGAATATCTTGTTCATTAAAAGTAAGTATAGCCTTACTTTGCAAATCCAAGTCGAACGAGTAGAGACATTGAGAGACTCCTCGTGCGCATCACAACTTGTATACTCGGTACTCAGTCTGTATATATATGGACATACATATGTATGAGAATAAATACGTACATATTCAATCATATGTATGTATCATACTAAGGTGTGGGGGGGCTTGGCACTGCAAATGAATTTCGTCCTTCTGGCTGAATTATGCAATCTGACCCATATTCGGTGAAATGGCTATTCTGTACGTTATTGCGTTTTTACTTTTCTCTTATCTTTAAAATTGTGGCTGTGGGAGAAAATTTGAAATGCACTTGTAACAGTGTGATATCATATGAGTCTTCCACACAACATTTTGTGACTGGCTCTTATAGTCTCTGATACTTAGCTCATCAAGACGGACGGACTGACAGAAAGTCGGACATAGACCCGGCTATTGATGCTTATCAAGAATGTATGCACATACATACATATATATATATACTTGATGGGGTCGGAAACGTTTCCTTCTGTGCGTTACGAACATTGCTCCGACCACAAATACAAGATACCCTATTAACAGTGCCTGTTAGAACAAGAGGATTTTTATTCAGAAGATACTCATTTTGGTAACTACTAAACTGAAATACCAATTCCACAGTAATTTTGTCTGGAGGTTGGCAGAAAAAATAAATTTAAATCCTGTGGCGAGAAAAATTTCTACAATCAAGATTGCAGTAAAATATTGCCAAACAAAAGACTAGGGAGCACAAAGGATTAAATAATTTCAAAACAAAAAGAATCCATCTCACTTAAAACGGATTAGGGAATGGATACATAGACCTTGGTCTAGTTTCCGAGGTCTTTCTCATTTTCAATGGTCTCAGCACAGTGAATACATTTACATTATTCTATCAGGTAAACAACCGCATTGTTCGTTTAATCCCACAAACGAGCGAGCGCTCATTCCTAGTGGTAGATTAGGTAGTTGTAAGGATTTCTGAGGCCTCAAAATGTTATTGAGGAATCTTCATTTTAAAAATAGAACGGAAAGGCAGACTTATAATACCGCTAAGATATACAATTAGGAATAACATTCTGGTAACAAAATATCAATGAACGAATGAGCATTGCTCTCAACTCCGACTGAGCTTTTTCGTCCCTTACCAGTTTACTATTAACTCTTTCGTAGGACGATAGCATATCGAGGTGTACAACTTTTAATTTCGCTCTTCGCTGCATACTTATGTACATATGTATATGCGTATGTATGTAACTCTTTCGTAGGACGATAGCATATCGAGGTGTACAACTTTTAATTTCGCTCTTCGCTGCATACTTATGTACATATGTATATGCGTATGTATGTAGACTATTATCCAAACATTTAACTTTAAATTTAAAAAATGTTCTTATCTTTTGATTCGGTCTTAAAGACATCCCTTAGTTTTTCCATCACAATAATTTTACTTGTCTTCCATTACAACAACATAAGAACACGCTCCCTTTAATAAACTAAAATTGTTTATTCCCGGTACTCGAAGGGTAAATAGGGTTTTATGTAACGCACAAAAGGAAACGTTTCCGACCACATAAAGTATATATATTCTTGATCAGCATCCATAGCCGAGTCGATTGAGCCATGTCTGTCTGTCCGTCCGTCCGTCCGTCTATAAAAGCTAGAGCCACAAAATTTTGCATCCAGACTTCTGTATGCTCACACTGTTACAAGTGTATTTCAAATCTGAGGCACGCCCACTTCCGCCCCCGCAAAAGGGCGAAAACCCCCCAAACCTACAGTTTTGAAGATAAAAGAAAACTAAAAACGCCATTCCGTAGGGAATGACCATATCTATCAGATCACCAAATTGTGATCCGATTTGATCATTATTATAGCCAAAATGAAGAAATTAATTTGCAGTGGCTAAACCCACCCCGTCCCGCAGCTTATATTTGTTATTTTCAAATTCTCCCATTCACACTCTGCTTCTGCATTATGCTGACTCTGCCTCTGCCGTCCCTCTGCAGCTTTTTAACACACCCCGTCCGGCAGCTTATATTTGTTTAGTTAGTTTAGTTCAGTCACTAGTTAGTTCAACAGCATTTAGTTTATGAAGTGTGACCAATATAATTATATTAAAACCGTTGCGATGGAAGATAGGGGGTGAGTTAGTATTGCTGTTGTTGATACACCAACGATCTATTTGACATATGCACATACACACATATGTACATATGTATTATCATAAAGTTTTAAATAAGAGTCGCCCCACAAAATTTGGATACTGGTTATTGTTTTTGAGACCTAGGCGTTAGACATGGCGGACAGGGCATCGACTGAGCCATTAATAGTAATCTGAATTGTAATTGTAATCTAGATACATTTCGTACAGCCGGAAGCTTACGGAAACTGTTCCTGTTACAGAATCCTAGTCAGCTATGTTTATTTTAAAATCAGTTGTATAGAAACAGATGTCACGATTTTTTTATTAGTACTGAATATATAATCGTATCGTACGTGTATGTATGTAAAAACGTACTTTTAAGCGTCGGGGATATGCTTTGTTGTGTGCTTTGAAATATATATATAAAAAAAGTAAGTACACTCTGCTTCGAAAAATAGCATGACAAGCTTCTTGGTCTCTGGATTCAATTTCTTTGATGTTCTTTGATGCTTTTATGTACAAATAATAACGACCAGTAATTCATTAGACCCATGCTCGTACTTGTACAACAGCCGAACGTCAACTCAACTGTGCTAAATGAGGAGAAAAGTGTCCAAAGAAATGTTTTGTCATGGCACGTGGCGACACTTAAAGCAACTGCAAAAGTGGCATTTTGTATGTTTGTAGTAATGACTTTGGTTATATCATTATGAAAGTTTATATTATACACTTCCCCGTAAATTTATCTGGCTACAGGGTCTTCAGAAGCTATAAGGTTTTATTTCCCATTATATGGCAGCATGCTACATTCGCGGTTCCTGCAAAATGTCACCCAAATTGCTCTTTGCATTACATAAAATTTTCGAAATATAATACAAAAAAGTGAAGGTATTTAAAACTGTTTGTTTAACATGGCTTCGTGGCTACTTACTTATTAGCTTTGTTGCTATCCAATGCAGGTGTACATATGTATGTATGTATGTACGTTTTTAGTATAAATTGAAAAATATGCAAGTGGGATCTGAGTTTTATATTTATTCTTAAATTTTCGTTCAACAAAATAACCAATATATTAGCTGTTTACCTATTTCCCTACCTATATGTCCAATGCCGCTTGCATGATTCACGTGGACTTAATTAAATTAAAATACCTTGTACTTGAAAACCGGCACACACATGTCAAAGCTATTGAAGTTTACCTGGAGCCCTCATGACTCTCTCGTTCTTGCAGTTTCTCTTTCTGCACTTTTGTCTGCCCTCACCGAAAAAAAATTATGAAAATCCTGTACCACATGAATAGCCTCCATCGCATTCACTGAGTACTGGCCATCATATTTTCTCCACCAGCAAATTAAAATAGTTGATAATACTTTGGTTATAAAGAGATACATACGTATCTTAATTAACGCTTGAAATGTTTTAATTAAATCCACTTGCACTAGTTTAGCAAAGAAACTAAACCTCACCAAGTCTCAGATTGACAACATGTATTGATTTATGTGGTTATTTTTTATAATATTGCAACCATTCAATTTTACTTTTTACAGATGTTAAAGATGTTCAAAAGAGAGACTAATATACTGTGGACATATGAACACACTGTATATGTATGTATTTATAAATGTACATACATATGTATGTATGCACATGTGTATGTATGTATATTTATTTAAATATGCATATTTCAAATATATATACAATATATATAAAAAAATCATTTGAGTTGCAATCATTTTTGCGGGTTGGTTTCTACTTTCATAATTGAGGAAAATTAAAAGAAGAGTGACTGTACATACTAAACGCTTTCTGCGCTCTAGATATATCCCTCCCGCTCTCAAATGCTTACAATGGAGGGGAGGTACTAAGATTCTTCTACAAAATTTGAATTGCGCGCGCGTGTTGTGTATCAACCCTTAGCGCAAGCAAACCAAAATCCAGCCCTGGGTTTTCTCTCATTTCTTTTCAACCAATAAAAATGAAAAGACTTTTAGCCAATGAACACAATATTACAGTTTCTGTATGACACCTAATAATATACACAATACACATGTATGTAGGTACATCTCCCTTACACAATTTTATATTCTATTCATTCACACTTTATTGATAACGGTGCATCAGAGTGTAGCAACACGTACTTACCTACATATGCATGTGTGTATGTATCTAGATGTTACGAAATCTCAATATATTTGTGTGGGATAATTAATTAATTAATTAATCAAGATAATTAATTTCAATAACACAACTTTTATGTACTTACATATGTAAGGATGTACAAATGTACGCATGTACATAATCCATGTAGTCTTCAATGGAATCAATGCAATGCTTCAGGAAGTTCCGCAAGTCTGGTACTTATGTATGTACATACATATGTATGTAGGTATATATACATACATACGTATTTACATGCATGTATTGTATATGTATAATTTTATCATATATTTTTTATATTCAAATTGTAAATGTATGTATGTAGATGGTTAGTTTTAATGTAAGTTTTTTGAACTGTGCTTAATTGCAGGTTTCATCCATTAATCGAGTCTTGCGCAATTTGGCATCGCAAAAGGAGCAGCAGGCGCAACAGCAAAACGAATCAGTCTATGAAAAGCTCCGTATGTTTAATGGACAAACCAGTGGCTGGGCATGGTATCCAAGCAACACCACAACAGCACACTTGGCCCTACCGCCAACATCTACGGCCTTGCCTACGCCAACGAATTTATCTGGACAAATTAGTCGAGATGAGGTTCAAAAGCGAGGTAATTGAGCCCCTTTTTCTGAATAACAAATAAAATATTTACTAATAAATTTCCAAAACAGTGAGTGGTGGAAGTGGTAGTGCAGTGGAGATACATATAGTCTGTTGGAACATCTGTGTCAATCAGGACAGACAGCCAAGCCATTCCTATGTTCATATGTACATACATACATACATACGCATATGTACAGACATACCATACTGCTTTCTCTTTAATCTAATCCAGAGAACTTTTTATACCCGGTACTCGAAGAGTAAATAGGGTATGTTGTATTGTATAATGGTATGCACAAAATTGGATGTAAATATGTAACGCACAGAAATAAACATTTGTATATGAAAGTCGAAAATCTGCAGCGTCCACAATTATGAATATAAGAGAAAAAATTCCATTCCATAGGGAATGATCATATCTGTCAGATCACCGAGTTCGAATTAGATTGGATCAACAAGTATTATAGCCAGAATGAAGAAATTAATTTGCAGTGGCTACACCCAGCCCGTCCAGCAGCTTTTTATACCCAGAACTCGAAGAGTAAATAGGGTATATTGAATTTGTGCGAATAACGGTTGTATGTAACGCACAGAAGGAAACGTTTCCGACCCCCTAAAGTATATATATTCATGATCAGCATCAATAGCTGAGTCGATTGAGCCATGTCTGTCTGCCGTCCGTCTGTCCGTCCTTATGAGTGCCTGGATCTCAGAGACTATAAAAGCTAGAGCCTCCAAATTTCACATCCAGACTTTTGTTTGCTTACACTGTTACAAGTGTATTTCAAAAATGAGCCTGGCCCTTTCCTCCCCCGTAAAAGGCCGAAAACATCCCAAAGCTACTAAAAACGCCATTCCCGTAGGGAATGACCATATCTATCCGATTACCGAATTGGGATCCAATTGGATCATTATTATAGCCAGAATGAAGAAATATATTTGCAGTGGCTAAACCCACCCCGTCCTGCAGCTTTAAATGTTTTTTGCACAATCTCTTATTCACACTCTGCTTCGTGTAGTGCGCGGCCTCTGCCTCTGCCGCGTCTCTGCCTCTGCCGTGAGTCTTCACTGATCGGTTCTAGGGGAGGGGGGTGAGCTAAAGAAGCATGTCGGCGTGAGAAGTGATGATGTAGATGACAGATGTAGAAAAGGAGTAAAATTTAAAATTAAAAAAAAAACCGCTAAGGTACTGATGTACTACTGAGTGCCGGGTATAACAGCTGTGACGCGTAAGAAGCGTCTGACACATCCCTTCCTCGTTAGTTCTGGTTCGGGTTAAACAACAATATTCTACATTGATTTGAAACCAATATCTTTAACATTTTTAGGGCAAAATACTTTATCTGCGTATGCATAACCAGACTATTTTTTTTAAGTAATTAAGAAACACTCACTATCTACGATAAAGATATTTCAAACTAACTTGATTTCATGGACTGGAAGAATGGTTAATATTCAAAATATGTACCCCATACATATGTACATGTATATGTATGCATATATCTTAATTAGGATTGTTGGCTCTCAATTTCTTTTTGAAAAAACTGATTTGGCAGTTCCCAATCGACGACCTACAGGATCCTTTTATGATTTTATACCATAACTAAAATACCCTTCGGCATACTTTACCCACTGAAAGAAAGTTGGTTAACCTGCTTTCTTTCCTCTTCTGCTTCTCATTTCAATTGTAATATTGCAGCATACATATGTATATGTAAGTTTTTATGTATGTGCTCATTTTAAACTCAACCAATTACATTAAACAATTTGTGAATAAACAAATGGCTGCCACGACTTGATTTTTGTTGTAAACTGTTGCTGTTGGGCCAAGGATGTCAGCTAACGAACCGTTTCTCTATCCATGTACCAAAACTAGGTTAAATTATTATATTTATGTTATTTCTAACTAGATAAAACTTGCAATATGCCGGCCGAATATATATCAAAGTGTGGGTTGGTGTAGTAGGCCGGTGCTCAGACCCCGGGGTCAGTGGGTTCGAGCCATTTTAAAATTAAGGAAATCATAGATATTTTTATTCCGATTTTTCGATATCGACTATCGTCTGATCCCTATCCACTATCTTTACATTTTAGGCATTTATGAATTTTAAAAAATATCCATTCAGAATAAATTTAAAAAAAAATTAGAATGACATGTTTTTTTAAAACACAAATAATGGAAGCACAAATAATAATTGATTGTGCGAAGGGAAATTTATTCAAATAAATGTCTTTTAATGTCATACATTTTATAGTTTCGAGTCCAAATCGGCCCCCTTAAATTTTGGCCCCCGGTTAGATTCATTTTTTTTAGAATCAGCTCTTCACGTTATATTGTAATTTAATTTGATTAGTTATAGTAAAATAACTGATGTAAAAGGGACTACAATTTATACCTTTATTCAACAAAAATAAGTCAGTAACATGCAGTCCAGGGTGTGTGTTAAAAGGAAAGCAACAGCAACCCTAAACATTCAGTGCAATATCTCAAATCTCTCTTGAAAGTATTTTGTTACAGATGATCAAACAGCAGGCCAAACAAAAAGTTAATTTGTTGGTCATTTGTTGTTTGCCATTAAATCTAATTGAGGCACGCTATTTCGCTACTTTGCTTTGGCTTCTGTTTCTTTTGTTGACTTCGATTGTTTTTGTTTATTTTGAGATCAATGAATTAGAATGACATATGTCCTCTTTCCTATAAACATACCCCGTCCATCCGACAATGCGCCAATACTATTCCGTTATCCATTTCATTTTATCTAGTATTATCCCTTCCAATCAACTTGATTGCTGTATCAACCACACACACACAGACACACATTACGGCATATGCAAGCATTTTTATCAAATACGACAAACAGTCAGAAAAATAAATTGAATGAATTCATTTTTCTAATCCCGCCCGAGTTTTGGTTGGTAACTGAACAAATTTTAAGTCAATTGAACACGTTAAGATCTCGTTTTAATGAATAAAACGAATTCCATTCCCCAAAAACACAAGAGAAGATTTGAATTTTACGACCATTTAGTAACGGGCAGACCTGATATCGACTTTATTTCCCAAAGAAGGGAGAAGCTTCTTACGCGTAAAACCTTTCTACCCGGTACTCGGTACTACATCTATACCTTTTTTTGTCCTGTTTTTTTGTTAAGTTATACATTTTTTCTTCATCTGCCATCTACAACTACATCACTTCTCACGCCAACACGCTATTTTAGCTTACGCCCCTCCCCTTGAGCTGAACACTACACGAAACAGAGTGTGGATGAGAGAATGTGCTAAAAACAAAAAAAAGATGTGGGACAGGGTTGGCGCAGCCACTGCAAATTAGTTTCTTCATTCTGGCTATAACAAAGATCCAATCGGATCCCAATTCAGTGATCTAATAGATGTAGTCCTTCCCTACGGAATTTCGCCCTTTATGGGGCGGATAGGGGCTCTTTTGGACTCTTTTTGAAATACACTTGTAACAGTTTCAGCTTAAAGAAACACTTGGTTGTCCTATCTCTTATGGTCTCTGAGGCGCTCATAAGGATGGACAGACGGACGGACAGACAGACATGGATCAATCGACTCGGCTATTGATGCTGATTATATATCTTTATAGGGTCGGAAACATTTCCTCTGTGCGTTACGCACATTACACTGACCACAAATTCAATGTACCCTATTTACTCTTCGAGTACAGGTATAACGAGAAGGGACGTGTGAGACGCTTCTTACGCGTCACAACTTTTATACCCGGCACTCAGGACTACATCTGCACCTTAGCGGTTATCTGTCAAATTTTAAATTTTTTCTTTATCTGTCATCTACATCTACAACACTTCTCACACCAACACGCTCCTTTAGCTCGCCGCCCTTCCCTAGACCAACACACTGCAGACTCGCGGCAGAGGCAGCGCCCACACACAAAAAAAAAAACAAATATAAGCTGTGGGACGGGGTGGGTTAAAAGTCGGAAGAGGCATCGACAGGGGGAGGGCAGAGGCAGGGGCCGAGTGAAGCAGAAGCAGAGTGTGAATGAGAGAATGTAAAAAGAGCAACAAAAGCTGTGGGACAGGGTGGGTTTAGCCACTGGAAATTAATTTCTCCATTGTGGCTATACTAATGATCCAATCGGATCCCAATTTGGTGATCTGATAGATATGGCCATTTCCTACGGAATGGCGTTTTTAGTTTTCTTATATCTTCTTATATCTAAATTGTAGATTTGGTAGGTTTTCGCCCTTTTGCGGGGGCGGAAGAGGGCGTGGCTCATTTTTGAAATACACTGGTTTCAGTGTGAGCATATAGCAGTCTGGATGCAAAAAAAATACCGAGGTCGAGAATATCAGAGACTCTTGATCGGCTGTTTGTTCTGCCTGTCTGCCTGTCTGTCTGTACCGAGATAGCTGAGCCCTATTGATGCCGATCAAGAATATATACACTTTATGGGGTCGGAAACGCTTCATTCTGTGCGTTACATACAACCGTTATACCCACAAATACAATATACCCTATTTACTCTTCGAGTACCGGGTATAAAAAGACAAGAGGAAACACAGAATCAACTCAGAGAGGACCACATCCCACCCATGCCCCGCACAAAATCAAATATCATATTTGACTTCCATTTAATATTTTCCGTAGATATATACCCGGGCGATGTCTCTCACCCCTCTCACGAGAGCACGTCAGATGGCAATTCCGATCATAATTCATCTGGGGATGAGGACTCTCAAATGCGACTTCGGCTGAAAAGAAAACTTCAACGCAATCGAACCTCTTTTACCAATGAACAAATCGACAGTCTGGAGAAAGGTAAATGTAAATGAAATTGATAGCATGGGATACCCATATTTAATATGCTTGAACTTTACAGAATTTGAGCGAACACATTATCCGGACGTTTTTGCGAGAGAGCGGCTTGCTGAAAAAATTGGTTTGCCAGAGGCACGTATTCAGGTTTGTCTTTCAGTTTTGTTTAAAAACGTATTAAAAACCTTTTTAAGATGTAAATGTATGGAAACAAATTCATTTTAGACAAAAATTTCTGATATTTAATTTTGACATGAAAACAATAAATTCGGTCTTCTGTCCGAACTTTCACAGAAAATAGTTCTGATAAGCGATTTCCTCTTTCTTTTTATTAGTCTTCTAATGTGGCGTTACAACTTTCGTTCATTCGTTGAAGCTCCTTCGCCGGCTAAGTCTGGAGAATACGATTCACACTCAACTTTAGAGACGGCTAAGAAAATAGTTAAGAATAAGAGAAGACTAAGAGAAGAATAAGAATTCGTGACGTTTTTGTTTTCTTTAAAAAAAACTTTTGCATAAATTATCAGACGCCGAAATTGTTGGATGATAGTACATCTATTTAATTGAATGTTTGCTTTCGTCGCAAGCTTTGATATCAGATATTTTAAGATTTTAAAATGCTTTTGGAACCAGACTTTTACTTTATAAAGAGATTTTTATAGCCTTGCAGGTTGTTATAATATTGGTTAGATCTTTGTAACGCAAACAAGGAAGCAGTTTCTCCATGAATTTCATGTAAGCCTAGAGCTATCTAAATGAAACGTTGAAGACTATATCGTCCTAACTACTTGTCCGTGCTTGCCTTCGTCATCTCCACGCCCTAGTCAAAATATTTTACGGAAGCTCTCAAGTACAGAAACACACATATTCTTAAATCTGCTCGATCGGACATACGTACGGAATATGGAACTCTATTTAGTTTTAGTCCCTCTGTCGAAGTCCCTCTTTCTGGGGCGACCGGTAGACGATGCTCTCTGGCTGTCCTACAGGTACAGTACCGGAAGATACACCGAACAATGGTCTAAAATTTTACTGGGTATTCCACAGAACAGTATTGTATAAGCCAGTAAGTTGTGTTGGTGTTGCAGGCAAGCAATATACTTGGCTACTCTTAAGGAATTCTTCGAGCTGGGGCTTCTCCACCCGTCAAAACTCACACTAGGGTGGTTTTTAGAAGTGCCTTCAGCATTGTCATTGCCTTGCCGTAAAAGGCGACGAATTATGTCACTCCGGATGAAACTGAGTTTGACACACCAGCCATCCAACTGTAAGATGATGCTGTCCACAACACGAAATGATTATTCTCATGACTGTTTGCAAAACAGGCCCGTGGACTTAATACTAAGTAATACTCTAAAGTGGACGTGGACTGGTCTTCAACGAGAGGTGCTGCTTAAACCATATTAAGTTTACTGGTTTTTGAGAAGTGCACTTCCAAAACAAGTACATATGTATATGTAGATACATATGTGAGAAATGTATAATATTTATAAAGCATTGATACAAAACATTAGTTTTGTTTATTATACCGTACTCGAAGAGTAAAAAGGGTTATTGTATTTGTGTGAATAACGGTTGTATGTAACGCACAGAAGGAAACGTTTCCGACCCCATAAAGTATATATATTCTTGATCAGCATCAATAGACGAGTCGATAGAGCCATGTCTGTCTGTCCGTCTGTCCGTCTTGTTTGTCGGCTAGTTCTCAGAGACTATAAGAGCTAGAGCCACTAAATTTTGCATCCAGACTGCTATATGCTCACACTGAAACCAGTGTATTTCGAAAATGAGCCCCGCCCCCGCAAAAGGGCGAAAACCTCGCAAAGCTACAATTTTGAACATAAAAGAAAACTAAAAACGCAATTCCGTAGGGAATGACCATATCTATCAGATCACCGAATTGGGATCCGATTGGATCATTATTATATCTAGAATGAAGAAATTAATTTTCAGTGACTAAACCCACCCTGTCCAGCAGCTTTTGTTGTCTTCGCGCAGTGTGCGACCTCTGCCTCTGCAGTGTCTCTTCAGAGTGTGGCTCTAGACGAGGGGGCAAGCTAAAAGAGCGTGTTGGCGTGAGAAGTTATGTAGATGTAGATAACAGTTGTAGAAAATATGTTAAATGTTAAATTCGGAAAAAAGAAAAAAGGGTACAGTAAGAAGCGTCTTACACGTCCCTTCTCGTCTTATATCAAAATTGTTTTAAACTTCGTTCTCATTCTATTTTTCTTTTAAGAGTTTTTTAAGCTCAAGTTCTTGTTTACATGTAAATTTTCACTAATTTGCGTTGCTCTGCTAATATATGTAATGTTAATAGGTTAGTCGTTCCATAATCAAATAGAAACAACGAGGCTTTTCAGAATTGGAAAGCTTGCAACTTATGGTTACTAGATTCAACGTTCTAGTTGATGAACGCAGCTGAATTTATCATATAAGTAGTATTCCGGCTGTCTGTTTTAAAATATTCGATGTAGAAAAGTAACTGTTCTGTACCCTGACAATTTCTTGAAAACAATTTTTTTGTTTAATTATTACTATTATCTATTTTATTTTTCTTCTCAGGTAATTACCTTATTATAATTGGCAAAAGACACAGAGAATAGGAAAAAGTAGTTTCAATATTAATGTTAAGTAATGAAAGCCACAGAGAATAGGACAAATTAGTTTAAATATTAATGTTAAGTAAGGCTAACTTGGCATACACGCTACAAACTAAATGCAAATCTTGTTTTTCTTAATTTGTTTGTTTATTTTTTTAGTTAGTTTAAATATTAATGTTAAGTAAGGCTAACTTGGCATACACTCTACAAACTAAATGCAAATCTTGTTTTTCTTAATTTGTTTTATCTCTTGTCTTCTCTGTGGCTGCATCCCTTTTATATGGCGTTAATTGTGACATCGTTTAGTCTCTACAGTAGCTCTTCGCAGAAATGTATCCGGGATATAAAACCCCGACTGGTTTTATCCTTAGCGCCGGTACATTTTGTTATAGGTTGTGTTCATTTTGAAATCTATCTAAAGCATAGACCATGAATCTTACATATTTTGACGTATTTTGACAAAACTGGTCAGACGTAACCAACAGAGCCAAAATCAGACAGTCAATACAATGCACCCTGCGACCTTTGTTTATTTTATCGTCGTGGCCAGTCGGATAAATCATTCAAGTTCGCTCTTGATTCTTTGTGTAAGTGAATAAAAACAATTCGACTGTAAAAACACTTGAAAGTCCTTGTCTTTTTTCGCTTTGAGTAGCCGATGACGCTGGCACATTGGAGTACACTGAAGAGCTTAAGGGGAAACATGTCGGATGAAGTGGAATCGGCAACAATAACGCAAAGTAATAAATGTCATGGTGTAAATATTAGGGCCCATCAAATATTTGTATCCTTATTTACATTCAGCCCTTTGTCAAAATGCTAAGTTTCAATTCTCTTCATAACTACTACTATGTGAAGGGTGTGTGGCTCAGAAGCCAAACGCGAGCGCGACTGCATGACCAAAGTAATAGCTTCATTACACTTCAAGTGTTTGCCTCAGCTGCAAATTTTCAAACACCGACGCAAAAGTACTCAAATCAATTCGTTTGGCGCGAGGACTTGAACGAATTGTCACCCCCTGTGACACTTGAGATTTTTGAATTTATTGTTGTCAGCAAAAACAAAAAAAAACCTTATATATCTTCTGAACTCTCTACAAAAAAGGAAAATGTACAGAAATCATTTTTCGTATTATCTGTCAAACTATTATTTTTGACCAAGGCCAAACAATTAAATTTAAAAAAAAAAAACAGATTTGCATATACTTCTGTCGCGATATTTCTACAAAGTCTTTCTATCTTAAAAAATTAACTGTTTTAACCGTTAACGAGAAGGGACGTGTGAGACGCTTCTTACGCTTCACAACTTTTATACCCGGCACTCAGGACTACATCTAGATGTAGAAGACATCGCCAACCACTAGATATCGTTCACATTACAGAACACGTAGTAAAAAGCCTACTAAATAAAATGCATCAAAAGTATAGGATCAGTTAATCGTTTTTTCCAATTTATGAGATATTTAAAACGGCAATAAAATTGGTACTTTTTCCCTGCACATTCTGTGCAATAATGACCGCTAGGTTTCACAGCAGATTTTTCGAAAGTGGCGCCATCTATGAAATTTTCTGGTACGCAACTTTGATGGTCACCCTTTTTCTAATACAGAGCGTTAAAAACCGAGTCTTGGTTTTAACTTTTAAAAATGAGCTTTTGTCCACCGTTTCCGCAACTCCTCGCAACCAGTTCGGAATCGAAATCTCAAAAAAAAAGCCAAGTGCTGCTGGTTCGACCGAGTCGGAATTCAAATCAATTTAATCTCTTCTTCTTTTCAATTGCGATATTCACCTATTAAATGCATGTACTTCCTCTTTCTCTATCGTATTCACATATCACATGTATGTTCTATAGCAACAAGCTTCTGTCAGTATGTCGTAAATGCAACAATTCAATAGCTTAATGCTACAAATTCATTTTACTTATACAAAATACATTGCTCCGGGCCATAATTTGGCTAATTGGCGTAAACAACCATTGGCGTAAATAACCAAAACTGGTTATTGGGACAATAGTGCATCTCAGCGGTGTTTTGTCAAATTTTAAATAGGCAGGGGCCGAGTGAAGCAGAAGCAGAGTGTGAATGAGAGAATGTGAAAGGAACGACAAAAGCTGCTGGACAGGGTGGGTTTAGCCACTGGAAATTAATTTCTTTATTCTGGCTATAATAATGATCTGATCGGATCCCAATTTGGTGATATGATAGATCTGATAGATATGGCCATTCCCTATGGAATGGCGTTTTTAGTTTTCTTTTATCTTCAAAATTGTAGATTTGGTAGGTTTTCGCCCTTTTGCGGGGGCGGAAGAGGGCGTGGCTCATTTTTGAAATACACTGGTTTCAGTGTGAGCATATAGCAGTCTGGATGCAAAATTTTATGGCTCCAGCTCTTATAGTCTCTGAGAACTAGCCGACAAACAAGACGGACAGACGGACAGACAGACATGGCTCTATCGACTCGGCTATTGATGCCGATCAAGAATATATACACTTTATGGGGTCGGAAANTTCCCTACGGAATGGCGTTTTTAGTTTTCTTTTATCTTCAAAATTGTAGATTTGGTAGGTTTTCGCCCTTTTGCGGGGGCGGAAGAGGGCGTGGCTCATTTTTGAAATACACTGGTTTCAGTGTGAGCATATAGCAGTCTGGATGCAAAAAAAATACCGAGGTCGAGAATATCAGAGACTCTTGATCGGCTGTTTGTTCTGCCTGTCTGCCTGTCTGTCTGTACCGAGATAGCTGAGCCGATAACTACGGCTAGTTCTTATATATGTGAAATACCCCAGCCTTTGCGAAGTAAGACACGCAATGTATGTTGGCAATATGGGTGTTTATGTTATATGGGATAAATGAGAAGGAGTACCGGGTATAAAAATCATGGAATTGTTGGTATTTCATTCGATACTTTATTTTGTATTAAATAGGAGGACAATTGATGGAATACAGCGAAGCACTGTTCAAGTGCTGTACGCCATACAGTTGAAGCCACAAAATAATAGTGATATTCTTTTGCATAGGTTGGGGGATTACAGATTCTGTAGTCAGATGACCAAGAGGTATGCCAAAATGCTGCAAAATAAAGAAACGGATTAGTTTGTATAATGAAAGACCGGGTACAATATTTATTCGTATAGAAATGCAAGTCCCATGCGAGTCTTCACGATTGTTTAAATTTATGTTAAATGTACGAATCATTTTTTTGTAAATATATTGCCACTTATAGAGATATCAATGCACCACATATATCAGAAATAGACATTAATTTTTTTGTCATAATGTTAAAATAATTTTTGGAAATCTGTCTTTTTTGGGCCATACCGGGAAACCAGCAGTGCTGGATTAAATACGCGAGTATCCAAAATAAATAACAAAGTCGATATGGTCATATACTAATTTTCATCTGCACACCTAGTTAATTTAGAAAAATTAACCAACTGATTTCATTAGAATGATTCAATACAAGAGCATACCTCTCTTCTTAGAAGGATGGTCGAAAGATATAACACACCTTAAGAGCAAGAATAACCTAATTTTCTATGCAGACTCATCTAAAATCACATTAAATCTAGTTTGTGCTCATTCGCTAACACAAAAGATGAAAATCAGTGACATTCACAATTTCAAAGATACGAAAAATGCAACAACGCAGGAAGGAGTAGGGAATAACCGGATTGTAAAATGTATATTGAATCGGTTTGCCATACCCAGGATGAATAAGTGCATTTTCAGTGTCTCTCCCACGCCCTCCAGTATTGCAGCTTCTCTACTCCAAGTCTCGCTGATAAATTAAATAGTAAAAATTGGGCGCGTTCATCAGGGTCAATTTGATCACCGATCATGATCCATTGCAGCGATCGAGTTTTGAGTCCTGGTTAACTCGTCAGATCCATACCTTTCCATTGCACGAACAGCTAATCGTTATTATACCCGGTACTCGAAGAGTAAATAGGGTATATTGTATTTGTGCACAATGTGGATGTATGTAACGACCCCACCAAGTATAAAGTATATATTCTTTATCAGCATCAATAGCCGAGTCGATATAGCCATGTCTGTCTGTCCGTACGTCATGTTGAGCGCCTGGATCTCAGAGACTATAAAAGCTAGAGCCACCAAATTTTACATCCAGACTTCTGTGTGCCCACACTGTTACAATTGTATTTCAAAAATGAGCCCCGCCCCCTTCCGCCATCGCAAATCGCAAAAAATCTGCTGTATTCACAATTTTAATAATACTAGAAAATTAAAAACGCCATTCCGTAGGGAAGACCGAATTGGGATCAGATTGAATCATTATTATAGCCAGAATGAAGAAATATATGTTCAGTAGCTAAATCCCACCCCGTCCAGCAGCTTTCCTTGTTTTTTGCTCATTTTCTCATTCACACTCTGCTGTGTGCTGCCTCTGCATCTGCCGTGTCTCTGGGTCTGCCGTGCCTCTGCAGTGTGTGGCTCTAGGGGAAGGGGAGTGAGAAGTTATGTAAATGAGGATTTACATGAAATATGTAGAAAAAATGTAAAATTAAAAAATAACCACTAAGATGACCCACTGAGTACCGTCCCTTCTCGTTTGGTTAGCTTTCTCTTAAATATACGCCCTTGAAAATCATCTCCGTCCACAGTATAGAATTTCACATTTTCACATTCATGAGACATTTTAACTTTTCTTCCCTAAAAACGAAGTATTGAGCAGAATTCATGATTTTTGATTTATCACTACTCGAAAAAATCGTACTTTTTATTCCTCAAAGAACCAAGCCCCTTTTCTGATAGATTTTGGGCATTAAACTTTTTAGTGAATTATGTTTTTTATTTATTTTTTATTATTCGGAACTATGCGACAAACAAGACGGACGGGTAGACTATAGTAAGTAGTACTTAGCATGACTATATCGTGTCGACTATTGATGCTGATCGAGTGCTAATGTATTTACGCTTTTACATATTCTCACATTGCGTAATTAGTTTTGTTGTGGTAAACTATCTTCGTGGAATTTAAAGGATTCATTGGAAGCCTATTTTTATTAGAATTTTGTTTATTTTAATCACACTATAGGCGTATAGTTTTAGTCTATTTGTGTTATAATGCTAACCGGAAATACAATATGCTTTTTCCATGGACAGGTATGGTTCTCTAACCGGAGAGCCAAGTGGCGCCGAGAGGAAAAGATGCGCACTCAAAGACGATCAGCTGATCATGTAGGTGGCAGTACTGGTAGAGCCAGCACAAATAATCAGTCAGGTACAGCTGCATCTTCCTCCGTCACACCGTCGAGCAACTCAACGCCAGGTATTGGCAGCTCATCGGGCAACGGCATCGGTTCTGAGGGAGCATCGACAGCCATAATCAGCAACAACAACCTACCCGATACATCCAATGCCCCAACTGTAAGTTATTGGTACCACTTAATAATATCCTTTAACACTAGCTCTGTTAACAAACATATGTGATAGGTTCTTGGAGGAGATGCAAATGCCACGCATACAAGTTCGGAAAGCCCACCACTTCAAGCCGTAGCACCACGGATACCCCTGAACACCGGTTTCAATGCAATGTATTCATCTATCCCGCAGCCCATAGCTACGATGGCAGAAAATTACAAGTAAGTTGGTCAAAATTCTATATATTTACGAATTGTAGGCATGTAAATATATTTTTGTTTCACTAATTTGATTGTATTTTGTGGATCACAACCCGTTTAAAGAGTTCGTAAAGTTAGATCTGTTGTGGATTCCCGTTGTGGATACCACTCAACTCTCTTTCACTTATTAATTTAGTAAACTGAAATTGCCCACTGTGCGACTGGGCTTATGCTCGAGAGTCGATACTTTTGCCGGGTTCGTCGTTTGTGAAGCCATTGACGAAACGACGAACCCTTCGGGCGAAAAGAAAATTGAGACCTCGCGCGCTCCCCCTGTCACACCACGCCTTAAAACAGAAGAATTTCAGAATATACATATGTACATACTATATATATATATATATATATTACTATATATCAATCCGGAAAAGCCGGACGTGTGGTTTTATTAAAATCATTTTGTGAAATGTGATTAGCAAATGTATTTACTGAAACTTATGCATTTCGATAGCTCAATGACCTCATCGTTAGGCTCGATGACGCCCACATGCCTGCAACAAAGAGACAGCTATCCCTATATTTTTCACGATCCGCTATCTCTTGGATCTCCGTACGCTCCGCCTCACCATCGAAATGCGCCGTGCAATCCAGCTGCTGCTCACCAACAACCCCCTCAACACGGGGTTTATGGTAACAGCCCTTCAATGACGTCTAACACAGGTTCGATATAACTGTTATAGTTAAACTTATGACATTAATTAATTAAGGGTCTCCCTTTTTTTACAGGTGTTATCTCTGCCGGTGTTTCTGTTCCAGTGCAGATTTCAACGCAGAATGTATCAGATCTAGCGGGTAGTAATTACTGGCCGCGACTTCAGTGATCGTCAATTTTGAATTTGCCTTCTGAGCTCTTTTCCAAGGCTGCAGCCGCAGTGGCAGCTGTCGCTGCGGCACATGCAGTTGAGGAGCATAATATGCCTCAGCAAGCTCAAGTCGAAGCAGCAAAGACCAGCAATAGTGAAAGCCCACCAAATATGATTCCACAAATGACACTACATATGTGCATCAAGAAACTTGAAGATGTGCATGGATAAAAAGAAGGGTATGGGTATAATGAAAATGGGTGTATGCATTTCACTAAGTGAAGTTATATCAAAGCAAGCTCTTACGCCGCCAACATCGCCCTAAGCATTAGTCTCTGCTACATCACCGATTTTTGATCCGGAAGGTCCTGAACCGAACGACCATCCAGACTGTCGATGGCAAATAATATGACAAATGCGCAAGTCGACACATTCCCATTCACTATATCTTCCCTAATTTAGGCGATGAACACATTGAATAGATCAGATCAGTGCCCAGTACATACATCTATTATTTTTGGAACACACAATTTACATACATAAATACACACTAACCAACTAAGCAGAGATGCCCATAAAGTTATTTATGAAAATTCATCAAATGTTGCATATGCCATATATTTAAGAAGAAAATATTTTCAGAGATTTTCATTAAAAAAAATGTAATGCCCAAAACCTATCAGAAAAAGTTTTCTTGGTTCCTTAAAATTTGATTTTGTCGTGTGGTGTAATCTTAGAAAAATTTTAGAGCCAAGCAGGCAGGAACCAATTGGTTGTGGAGCAACCAATTGTGTTTTTTCGATTTAATCGTTTACAATATATTTACAACCATAAATTCTGCGAAAATCAATTTTTTCCCAAGCTACACCATTGGCCATGACGCCTCAAAATCGATCTCTGCATACATTCATGTATATATCCATATGCATGCTTAACGTATTTATTATTTACTCAGATTGCGATGCTATCCAACAGTATAAATTGCATCTTGTGCATACATATGAATGCATAATCGAAATTAATTACAACGAACTTAATTTCCAATAAAAAAATATACCCGACAAAAACTTTATCAGACAGACACACCGGCACCTCCCTAGAAAATAAGTCTTCAGTTTTAAATTATGTATGGTTCGAATTTATATATAGAAAAGTCGATGTTTGTAATAAGCCCTTGGACTTACACATGTAGGTTGCTTATTAACACATACACATGTACATATGACCATACATGCATACGCATATGTTTAATATTAAGATTTAATAAAATAATACAAATGTACACATACAGTAACCGTTTCAGTGTTATTTTAATAAATAAATTTAATACATGTTTTTAATGTTTTCAATATTCTAACAAAAATTAGAATAGCACTACATAAATTACTTACACTAGTGCTGATAGCACTACTCGACACGATTTTTCCTCAAGAACTTCTTAAAGATTCGGGACTTACAAATTGTTTGATGGTACTCAGATGTACTCAGTACTCAGATGCTCAAAATGTTCTTGCGACAGAATCAGCAGAAAAAGTCAGAAATCAACCCTGTTCTTTGGGCTACCAATATATGAATATGTCAATATAGTTTAACGTCCGATGCCATTAGCATCATTTGCTATTTGCTGAATATATTCTTCGGATCTTAATTAAGGCGTTCAGTGTCTATTTTGGCATACATGCATATGTACATATGTACATATCAACGATGTACTGATGATACTATTTTGAATTCAGTTGTTTCAAAAAATGTGATAAATGAAGAACCGCTCGACTGATTCTGTGCAAACTTCATTTAAACCATCTACTAAATAGTCCGAACAAAGCCTAAACATTTGGTTTGGTTAGGTGAGTCAGTTTTTGAGTTATAAAACGAGAAGAGACCTGTGAGACGCTTCTTACGCGTCACAACTTTTTTACCCGATACTCAGTCTAAGTACCTGTCTAATATTTTTTTTTTTTTGAATTTTAATGCATTTAATTTTGCATTAACGCAAAACAGCGATTTGCACGCCCATGCCAAGACAGATAGCTGCCATCAAATTTTCTGGCCATTTCTAGCTTTATTCAAAGGCTAGTTTTCCTTTATGACGTGATGGCTACATCCCAATGGCGATATTGATGCCACATTCTGAGCCTCAAATGATGGAGGTCGGACAGGACGGGGTATCTCTGCGCTGCGTACATCATTGCATTGCTCACATTGCCTGCTCGTTTGCAAAGCAGCCATCCTCGACAACGGCAATCAAGTTGTGATCCAGGTTACGGAACTCAAGCATATTTAGCACCTTCGTCAGGGCGCTGAGGATCTCCATGCTTCCTATCTGCTGGACGGTACGGTAGTGGGTGCCATCAATATGGCACAAAGCTATCGCCAATGCCTTCCACACGTGGTACTTGTCCATGACGAAGAAAAACAGCTGCCTGTAGTCCTCTAGGTCACCAAATCGGTTGATTTGCCTTGCGCTAGTTGCTTTTTTGAGACGGCCGTCTAACGTAACATTGAAAGTCCGGTTGATGTCCTTCCTCGTCCTCGGAAAATGTCCAGATCAAGGAAGATAGTCCGCAGCGTCCTCAGTGGATCTAATTATGTCCGACTAGATCTGCGAAACCTCCTTGGTTCACCAAAGAGTTATCCAGTCTAAAAAATCTAAAATCAAGACTATTTAAAAAAGCTCAAGAAGTTGGTTCTCCCTCTTCTCTTTCTAATTACTTAATAGCTCGGTCAAACTTCACTGTTCTTAATGCTCAATGCTATAGGAACTACCTCCTTCGATGCAGGATACGTTTTTCAAAGGACCCTAAACAGTTTTACAGCTTCGTAAACAGTAAGCGTAGAACGTCCGCACATCCATCCTCGCTATCATTTTTGAATATGTCGGCAAACAATGATCAGGCAATCGCCGATCTTTTTGCAAAATTTTTTCAAACCACATATTCCCAGGAAAGCTACCCAGGTCATATGTATCCATATAGTTTACCAAGGTCGAATGGCATTTTCTGCCCTTTGTTAAATGAAGGCTCCTTACTTCATGAACTTCAATTAGCTAAGCCGGTATTCTCACCGGGCCCTGACGGAGTTCCCGGCTGTGTACTCAGGTACTGTGCCGAGTCTCTCTGCGGACCTTTGCTTAAACTATTCACTCTATCTATCCATTCTTCTAGCTTTCCCCCCATCTGGAAGGAATCCTTTATAATTCCTCTCCATAAGAAAGGTAGCAAGTCTGACGCTAAAAACTATAGAGGTATATCTAAGTTATCCGCTATTCCTAAAATGTTCGAGAAACTTTTAACTCCGCACTTGCAGCATCTCTGCAAATCACTTATATCTCCAGCTCAGCACGGATTTATACGGCGACGATCAACAACCACTAATCTTTTAGAGTTCACCTCCTTTGTAATTAAAGGCTTCCAAAGTAACTTGCAGACGGATGTTATTTACACTGACTTCAGTAAGGCATTCGATTCCGTAAACCATTCTCTTCTTGCACAAAAGCTCAACCTTCTAGGGTTTCCGCCCAATCTGTTGAGATGGATTTCTAGCTACCTGTGTTATAGGTCTCAAAGGGTCCTTTTCAAAAACTCCGTATCTTTACCTGTTATGGTTACTTCTGCAGTACGACAGGGTAGCCATTTAGGCCCCTTACTTTTCACACTCTTTATTAATGACCTGCCTTCTGTATTAACAAATTCTCGAGTACTTATGTATGCGGATGATGTTAAACTCTGTGTCCAGTATAAGGACATTTCATTTCACTCTCGTTTGCAATCTGATCTCAATAGCTTTCAGTCATGGTGCTGTGCAAATATGTTACAACTTAATGCCTCGAAGTGCAATGTTATGACTTTTTGTCGCTCCAGCCCCTTCCTGGCTCCTTACACCCTCTGCGGTAGTTCTCTTGAGAGAATTACATTGGTTGATGATCTAGGTGTTAAACTAGACCCAAAGTTAAAGTTTTCTGAACACATTTCTACCATGGTAAATAAAGCCATGGGTGTGCTTGGGTTTATAAAGAGGTGGTCAAAGGAATTTGAGGACCCCTATATAACGAAGACTCTCTATATCTCGCTTGTTCGTCCGATTTTAGAATACGGCTCATGTGTATGGTGCCCTCAGTACAACATACATCAGGACCGTATTGAATCAGTACAGAAAAACTTTTTATTATTTGCCCTACGGGGCCTCAACTGGGATGCAACTGTGAGACTGCCATCCTACCGTAGTAGNTAAATGAAGGCTCCTTACTTCATGAACTTCAATTAGTTAAGCCGGTATTCTCACCGGGCCCTGACGGAGTTCCCGGCTGTGTACTCAGGTACTGTGCCGAGTCTCTCTGCGGACCTTTGCTTAAACTATTCACTCTATCTATCCATTCTTCTAGCTTTCCCCCCATCTGGAAGGAATCCTTTATAATTCCTCTCCATAAGAAAGGTAGCAAGTCTGACGCTAAAAACTATAGAGGTATATCTAAGTTATCCGCTATTCCTAAAATGTTCGAGAAACTTTTAACTCCGCACTTGCAGCATCTCTGCAAATCACTTATATCTCCAGCTCAGCACGGATTTATACGGCGACGATCAACAACCACTAATCTTTTAGAGTTCACCTCCTTTGTAATTAAAGGCTTCCAAAGTAACTTGCAGACGGATGTTATTTACACTGACTTCAGTAAGGCATTCGATTCCGTAAACCATTCTCTTCTTGCACAAAAGCTCAACCTTCTAGGGTTTCCGCCCAATCTGTTGAGATGGATTTCTAGCTACCTGTGTTCTAGGTCTCAAAGGGTCCTTTTCAAAAACTCCGTATCTTTACCTGTTATGGTTACTTCTGGAGTACCACAGGGTAGCCATTTAGGCCCCTTACTTTTCACACTCTTTATTAATGACCTGCCTTCTGTATTAACAAATTCTCGAGTACTTATGTATGCGGATGATGTTAAGCTCTGTGTCCAGTATAAGGACATTTCATTTCACTCTCGTTTGCAATCTGATCTCAATAGCTTTCAGTCATGGTGCTGTGCAAATATGTTACAACTTAATGCCTCGAAGTGCAATGTTATGACTTTTTGTCGCTCCAGCCCCTTCCTGGCTCCTTACACCCTCTGCGGTAGTTCTCTTGAGAGAATTACATTGGTTGATGATCTAGGTGTTAAACTAGACCCAAAGTTAAAGTTTTCTGAACACATTTCTACCATGGTAAATAAAGCCATGGGTGTGCTTGGGTTTATAAAGAGGTGGTCAAAGGAATTTGAGGACCCCTATATAACGAAGACTCTCTATATCTCGCTTGTTCGTCCGATTTTAGAATACGGCTCATGTGTATGGTGCCCTCAGTACAACATACATCAGGACCGTATTGAATCAGTTCAGAAAAACTTTTTATTATTTGCCCTACGGGGCCTCAACTGGGATGCAACTGTGAGACTGCCATCCTACCGTAGTAGACTTCTCTTAATAAATCTTCCATCCTTAGTTAGTCGTAGAAAAATGCTTGGTGTAATTTTTATGCACAACTTGATCAAGGGGGATATAGACAGCCCTGACTTGCTGAGCCGCATAAACTTTACGATTCCCATTAGACCCACTAGAAACTTTATTCCTTTGTTCCTTCCACTATGTAGATCGAATTATGCCTCACACGAACCCTTTAGGGTTTTATGCTCGGATTATAATTCCCTCTACCACATTATATCCTCAACTAACTCCCTTCCTCTTCTTAAATCTTTTATACTAGCCTACCTCTCCCGTAGTTAGTATCATTTTAGTTTTCTGTTGTCTCTGATTTTGGTAATTTCTGCTTGCCTAGCTTAGTCTAGTTATGATTAGATCTAACTTTCCTCGAATATTAGCCTAACATCTATCTCTCCTGCNAAAACTCCGTATCTTTACCTGTTATGGTTACTTCTGGAGTACCACAGGGTAGCCATTTAGGCCCCTTACTTTTCACACTCTTTATTAATGACCTGCCTTCTGTATTAACAAATTCTCGAGTACTTATGTATGCGGATGATGTTAAGCTCTGTGTCCAGTATAAGGACATTTCATTTCACTC